TATCCCCTACACAAATCTAAAGTTTCTACTATTTGATCTAAAATGCTCAATCTTCATGGAAAAATATACAATTCACTAAACACAATCATTCATTGGCCATATAAATGAAAATGTAAGGATAACAATAGTAAAAACACATGAGAATAAGCATTTTAATTTTAAAAAGCAAATATTGAAATTAATTAAAGCTATGTTAAGTTACTACCATAAATCCTAACGCAATAAATTAGCTCATAAGGAGTATATTTATAACAATACATTACAAATATGCAAAATAGTTGAGAAAATACAAAGTTATAGATAAAACCCTTTTTGTTGGATGTTGAAGATGAAAATTGCTTGTTCTTAATTTCTCCAAAGTTTTGCCAAATCCTTTGATATATCTTCCTTGTGCTCTAGATTTTACTCCCAAAATGTCAAGAAAAATGGAAAGAAAAAGAAGAGAAAAAGTAAGAAGAAAGAAAGAAAAAAATGAAATGAAGAAGAAGCCAGCCCAACAAAAAGAAGCAGAATGCCGTGTTTTAATGTTCAAACCCTTGTGAAATTTGCACTAAAGTCCCCAAATTTTGGAAGTAAAATAAAAAGGGCCCTATGTTTTAAGGTGGCGCCTAACTCTCTACTACAAGATACATTTTTTCAATATATATATTTTGTTTTCTTTTCCTTATTGCACACAAGTTCCCTAGCAAATTGCACTCAAGGTTCCTCAACTTTGATCTTGTACAATTTGATTCTTAATTACATATGGAAGCTCATATGAAAAATTAAAACCTAATAATCTCCCACTTTGCCTTCCATAAATTGCAGCCCAAGGTCCTCAACTTTCGGTACTTGTGCATTTTGGTTCCCAACTTCATCTTTTTGTACGCTTTTGGTCCATTTTCACTCCATTTTGTCTAGTTCTCTTTCATTAGGTGATTTACCTACAAAAGCAGTAATTACATAATTGTGAATAGAAATTTGTTCATTTAATCAACATTTAAGATTATTTGGGTTAAACAAGTGTGCAAAAACACACTTATCAGTCTTCTTACAAAGGACTTTATTCAAAAGGAAGCTAATGACATTAAAGAGACTTTCTTTCTTATTTCAGTGAAAGACTTTTTCAAGACTATTATGGTACTTGTGTCATATAAAGACGGTATTTCTCAATGATGATATTGAGAAGACGATTTATATGGTGCAACAGAAAAATTAAGTATGTGGAGACCCAAACAAGATGGTTTACAAATTAAATAAATTCTTCTATAGGCTTAAAGTAGGCTTCTCATCAATGATATCACATATTTCTTGAAGTAATTATTTCGTTTGGTTTTGAGATGAATGCATTTGATGATTGAGTATACCACAAGTTCAATGAGAGTAAATATATTTTCTTAGTATTGTATGTTGTGACATACTGCTTACCTGCAATAGCATAGGCTTATTGCACGAAACTAAGAGATTTCTACCAAAGGATTTTGAAATAAAAGATTATTGTGACACCTCTTTCTATTAGGAATACAAATACACTAGATTGTCCTCGAGGTATTATTAAATTATCAAACAAACTATATCGATAAGGTTTTTAAGGTTTGGCATGCAAGATTATAAACCAGGTTATGGTAAAGGAAAAAAAGTTTAGTCTCAATCAGTGTCCTAAGAATGACCTTAAAGAGAAAGAAATGTAGAAAATTCTTTATACGTCAGTAGTTGAGAGTTTAATGTATGCTTAGGTTTGCATAGGTCCAGATATAAAATTCGTCGTTGGAATACTAAGCAGATATTTAAATAACACTAGGGTGAATCATCGGAAGGCAATAAAGCGAGTTATGCAGTATTTACAGAGAATAAAGAATTATATGATCACATACTGGAATCAACCAATTGGAGATCATTGGATATTTCGATGCTAATTTAACTGGATGCTAAGACAGTCAACTATCCACATGGGCTATGTCTACATGTTGGTTGGAGGGGTTATATCCTCGAAGAGTGCTAAGCAGACACTCTTAGCTTCTTCAACCAAGACAATGGAGTTTATAGCATGCCATGAGGTATCAAATCATGGAATATGGTTGCGAAATTTTGTCACTGAGTCATGCATTTTGGATGGAATTGAAAGATCACTCAAGTTATTTTGTGAAAACAAGTCAACTATGTTGTATTCCAACAAAAATAGGAGCTCAACGAAACCTATATTTATAGATATGAAATTCCTAGTTGTAAAGGATAGAGTATAAAGTGATCATGTTGCTATAAAACATATTGACACAAACTCTATGATAACAGATTCATTTACTAAGGGGCTACCACATAAAAGCACACTGCTAACATGTATGTTGCATCTTTAGATGATTTGTTAGTTTAGTGGAGACTGTATTTGGATGTTGTTTGATCTAGACAAATTTTTTATGTTTATGGATATTCAGTTTATTTTCAGAAATAAAGTATTTAGTTATTTTCTCTCTGATTAAGTTTTGGTTTGATCTCATTAAAGATTAAGGTAAGATTAGTTGAAAATAGACATATTTAGATCACATTATATGTAATTTCCGTGCTACATATCCATACGTGATTTATGTTATTTGATTACGTCGATATACGTGACTATTGATGGATTTATTTATGATATATATAACAAAGATCGCTTTGATCCTATATTGACATAATCAATGGACCGGATTGTTCAGAGATGCTTTTGATTATGATAGCAAATATTTTAACGTCCTAAGGTTATGCACATTTATAAGGTAACATATGTGGCCAAAGTGGGAGATTATTAGGTTTTAATTTTTCATGTGAGCTTACATATGTAATTAATTGTATATTAAATGTTATCTTAATGTTAAGTCCATTTAAAGTTAGATTTTGGACATCTAATATAGTATGTGCCTAGTTATGTGTAGAAACCAGATTCTTTTGGATTCCATGAGGGGTCGAATTACATATGGACATGTCTAATAAGGTTATGGTTCCCAATTCATACGTAATTTCTCATTCTATGTGTCATCCCATCATCAAAAGAATACAAAGAGAAATCGTATTGTCGAAGTTCAAGAAATCCGTAAGCAATCAATATTCGATCTTCATTTCCAATGAATCAATAAATGTTTAGCACTTTTAATTCCCTTGGTGACTTGACATCAAAAAAAGGTTTTAAATATATCAACAATCTTAGATTTTAATTTTCAAACATTCATAACTATCTTACATTCATCCTTAAGAGTATTTTTAAGTTATACAATTTAGCTCTCATTTGGCCCTTATTTTCTGAAAATGAAAATGGGTGGAATCATGATTTTTTTTTAAATGAGTGGTTGGAAAAAAAATGAAAATTTTTCGATTTACATGTGGTATTATTTTATGGAAGATTGTGTAATTGAAAATAGAAAAGAGAAAAATATAATGTAATGAAATGAAATTTAATGGAGTCAAACGGGACTTAGTCCCTAGTCACCCAATATAAAAAAGAAGAAGAAATGGAAATCACATTTATCCATATTTTTGAAGATCCCCGTTTGAAAATCAGATGCACAGTTTAGTTATTCAAAAATCAGATTATAATTAAAAATTTTAACATTAATAATAATATTATAAAATTAATATAATTTACATTAACCACCATCATTACCCTAATCACTTTTCCCGTTTTCTCTCTCTTTACTTCTGTCTTCTTTCTTCATTCCGGCAACTTCCTTCATCGGTGGTGTCCAGCTCTCCGGGGTCTTACCTCTACCGCCAGCCCGCAGATCTCCGACAACTTACCTACACCGCAAAGAGAGGCATGCCCTTCTCCCGTCTCTCTCCCCCCCATCCTCTATTCTCTATGGCCACCGTCGCGCGAAGCAGCCTTTGACAGTTGTTGCGCACGGCTCAAAGTATATCGCTCTATGCTGCTGACAAGATGCGCCGTTGTGCACGGCCAGGATGTGTGCCGCAACTGCAGCCGCCACGACATTTGTGAGGTGATTTATTCGATCTGCTGCTTTACCGAAATTTGGGGATTTTTCTGTTTTTTTGGTGATTGTTGCGGGTTTGGGTGGTTTGTTGTTAAGGCAGCGGCTGTGGTATGGTAGTGTTGTGTGAGATGGTGGATTTCTAGCAGGCGATGGTGGTGGTTGTGTGGAGGTTGATTGGAGTTGCGGATGGAGGTAGAGGTAGTGGTGGTGGAGCTGGTTGGTGGTTGTTGAAGCATGCGATCGTGGTTGTGAAATGTGGCAATGTTGAATTTGGTTCGAGTCACAGTAGGTCGCGGAGGTGGTCGTGGTGGTTTGGTTGATTTGTGACTGTAACTCATAATTGGATACGTGATCTGAAAATTGTGACTGTAACTCATAATTGGATACGTGACCTAAAAATTATGATTGTGAATCATAAGTGTTGGTGGTAGTAACAGATTATTTGGTTGACTTTGACTATTAAAATGGTTAATCTGTGACCAATGAAAAAATAAATTGTGATCGAAAAATAATGTGTGACCTAAAAAACTGTTAATCTGTGACCGATAATTTTATAATTTGTGACTGTATAAGAAGTTGTGACTTGTAATATTTGTGATTTGTGACCAATAAATAAATCGTGTCTTATACATTTTTGGATTTGTGAGCGATGAACATACTATGACTTATAAATTTTTTGAATTGTGATCGTAAAATAATTTGTGACATAAAATTTCATATTTGTGATCAAAAAATAATAAGTGATTAATTAAATCGTTAATTTGTGACCAAATTATATAAATCCGTGACTTCAATATATTTAATTACTAAAATAAACAAATAATTAATTAAATGATAAATATTTTTTTAATAAAAATCTAATTTTTGAAATTTGAAACTTGTTTTCTTGTTTTTGAAATGTGCCATAATTAATCTCTTATTTATGAAATTTCCCCCCGAAAAAAAGGTTGACCCCAACCTTAAGGGCCCCCACAATCCCGTTCTTGAAGTATCGTGAGAGAGGTAAATCGCGGGATATGCCTCAATAGTTTAGGGAATAGGAGATTGTTCGTACACTAGTGCTCACAAAGAGTCAAATTTCATATCTCAAAAATTGAACCTTCACACTATGACTGCTAACAAATTTAAGACTATCTCACTCCTATCTTTTGGACCACTAATTTATGTCCAAGCAGCCCTAGTCACCCATTATCATAAATAAGGCAGTTGTATAAAAGAAAGATTTGGAAATCAGGCGACAGGGCAGGAGTCCAAAGAAACAGGAAAACATTTCTCCTTGGAAAGAGGAGCCGGACCTAATAACCCTTTATCATAAATAAGGCGAAAACTAAAACCCTCTAATTGCTGTACGAGGTTTTGAAAGTTTGAGGAGGAAAAGAGATGGCAGCGACAAGTTCTCTGCGATCATCGTTTTTGTCGAAACTGAGAACATCGTGTAAGAATCACTATCGTCCATTCTCGGCTAAGCCCACTGCTTCATCTTCTTCTACCGACAAGAGCTACTTTGAGGAAGAGGAAGTTCCAACTTCTGGAATAAGCAGGCCGCTTTCAGAAATCCTCAAAGAGCTCAACAAGAAGGTTCCTGATTCTCTAATCAGAGCTCGCAATGAACCTGATGGGTTTTCTATCAAATATATTCCATGGTTTGTCCTCTCTCCCTCTCTCTGTATATACACACAAACAGCGAGAGATATAGTTTATGTTTAGTAGCTAAAGTGAGATGAAAATGTTAGTAGTAATTTTCAATCTGTAACAATGAGAAAAATAGCAATCGCTGATCATCTGCTCGATAAAATGCTTGCTAAAAAAAATGATTTTCTTGAGTTTGATCAGATTTGTTTATTACTTATAATAGAAATACAAGCGATGATTAGCTTATAAAGACATTTATTGGGAGAAGGAAATTTTATTTTCAGCGGCTAGATTGATAGATGGAACAAATTGAGGGCGACCCAAGGGAGATGGCTATATATCTTCTTTGTTAGTAAAAATGTTTGGGGAAACTGAAGCTAAAAGTAACTTTTAAGCATGCTTAAAAATGCTCTTATCCATAAATTTGATATACATTTAAATCCAGGAGATGGGTATATAAAGAAATATTTTTTTGAACTTACATTGTTGGTTGCTCTCAGTCCAGAAGCAGTTTCCAATGTTACTAGCCCGACATATGCCCCATATTGACATCGTACGGTTGGTAGCAGCCAGATGGATCATAACCCTAATAAGATGGAGATGCTGAAAGATATAAATAAGATAATCATGTTACCAGCTGCTTAGTTTTGTTGCATTCCTTTATTTGGGAGAATGGAACAATCTTCAATTTCGTTAGTTGTTGCAGGTGATTCTTGGGATGTAGAAAGTTAACTTCATGAAAACAAGTTAATTTTGTAAAAGAATGGCAAAAAATAGATTAAGATAGAAGCATACAAAGAGAGAGGAAAGAAGAGGAAGAACAGAATTGTATTTGAAGAAAATTTAGAGAATGGTTATAATGTTATAGTAGTTAACGAATGATACTGTTACTAACATTGATGAAAGTCTAGCGGAGTAGCAACCTTTTAAGTGAGTTCCAATTGAGTTGATCACCAGAGTTAACTTATCAGTATTACCTCTGCATACAATTAACTTCCCACACTACCCAAGCCACTGGACCAAAAAAAAAAAAGAAAGAAAAAGTCTGTCTGTTTGATGCATGCACTGCTAGAAATTTTCGAGTTTAGCAAAAAAAATGTATAATTCTGCTTTGTAAACAAATAAAGAAAACCATATCATCTGCCCTCCCATTTTAATATTAATTATCTATTCCTATGTACTTACTCTGTCATAACTTGTGTGCATTTTCATTTTCTTCCCCAGCATTAACCTCTGCTATAGTAACTATTCTTTTAAGATCATACTTTAGATTTTAGATGACTTTTTTCCTTGTAGGCACATAGTGAATAGGATTATGAACTTGCATGCTCCAGGTATGTCTTGCACCGAGTAAATTCTGATTTCAATGGACACTCTTCCATGAGTTTTAATGTTTAACACTTGTAGAATGGTCTGGTGAAATCCGTAGCATCACTTATTCAGCTGATGCCAAATCTGTATCTGTTGTTTATCGTGTAACACTCTATGGGACTGATGCAGAGGTATTATCATCTTCTCTCATGCTTAAACGTGCTTATTGTTCATTAATCCATCGAAACATTTGTCTTACAATGCTATGGAGTATGACACTGATAGTTTATGTGTTTTTAAATGTTACTTTGGATCCAATTCAACAATGAGTCAATGATTGAGGAACGATTGTGAGAATTCATTCCTTCATTCTTTTATTTATTTAAGGGTGTTGGGTTCTGGGACGAGATGTTCCCATTGTGTAAGAAAAGGTTCTTATATTAATCTGTCTTCGAATATTTCTCATCCACGTGGTTATCTGAATTTAAGATTCTTTAGGACCCAGTCTTTATCTTGACTGTACATGGATTTTTAGTGCCTTCAGTACTTGAAGGAACTGGTACTTGCAAATCTCAGATTAGATTAACTAGAATGAGATTATATTTTGAATAGACAGACTGGTGGCATAACTCCAGTGAAAGAATAGGTGAAATAACTTATATTGCTATTTCTTCTATCTGGATTAGATCTATCGGGAATCAACAGGAACTGCTTCAACAAGTGAGCCAGGTTATGGTGACCCTGTGCAAAAGGCAGAAGCAATGGCATTTCGTCGAGCTTGTGCTCGTTTTGGGCTGGGGCTTCATCTTTACCATGAAGATATGCAATAGTGTGGCATTAAACTGGCACTGTCAGTTTCAGTTCAGGAACACACTTGAGATTTGCCTTCTTTACGCTGGGATATCTGCTTCACTGAAGATTTTGATTGTACATCTTAGCAGAACCAAATGAAACCTGTTATTGGGTTTCATGTAATTTGATGGTATTGCTAATTCCTGTATTTAATGGAGTCAAGTAATTTTAAGAAATTAAGAATGTTGGTTTTTTTGGTTTTGGTTTTCCTGTGTCTGAATATACCATATTTTTCCATCAAGAACCTGGTAAAATACTGAGTCGGGTCTTTTTCTTCACCTCTGGGAATGCTTTTTGGATTCGTGGGGATCGACCTAGATAAATCATAACTAAGATTGAATTACCACTGGTTTTATTCTTTGTTTGCTCGCTCCAATTTCGCATGCTGATTTCTAAGGGAACCTATCTTGGAGTGCTTAAGATCTATCACGCTCTGCTCTTCAATCTATTCTTCACTCTGATTTTAGCTCTCTTTGCACCTTATCTACTTATCCGGTCAATATGCTCATTTTGCTTCAACTTCACCTAGTCAAGGACCACACGTACAACTTTAGTTCTACTTCTCCTATGGGAAGACTCATCGTTTCATCTAGATCGTAGGGTCCTCGAGTCTTTGGCTGTGGTGGTTATGACATTGAACAAAGGACTTCTGATAGGATTATACATCCAAGAGACTATCTTTTATCATCACATCTTTCGACATTGTATGACGTCTAGCGACGCAATGCTCAAGGTGACGCTACAATATTATGTAAGGATTTTTAATTAAAGATGAGCTTGTATGTGTGAATACTTGTGTGTTAAATTATATGCTATCGAATTCGGTTGAGCCCAATTAAAGTGATCTTATAAAGTTTCGATTTTGGGTTTTAATGTATCCAATTAAAGTATGGGTTTACATATGTGTAGAGACCGAACCCAAGTCTTAATTTTATGATGGGCCGAATTAGGTTAAAGGGTGTCCCTATATAAATAGGTTATGGTCCCCAGATCACACGCACATATTATTCATTTTCTATTGCATCCCGTCACAGAGAGTAAAAGGAGACTGCGTGTAGATTTGGAAGATTATACCGCGAAATTCATATTGCATTAACCATGTCTGATTCAGGTACGCTTCTGCTTTAATTTTTGTATTTCTTGATGATTTAACATGAAAGATCTGGTAATTTAAAGCACTAAATTATCCAATAAGTGGTATTAGAGTTTCTTCATGTTGAATCATTGAGAATCAAAAAAATTTTAGTTTGGTTCTTGCAATATATTTTGAAATTTTCAGATTTAACAATTTTTGGTTATATATTTTGTTAAATTTGAAAATTTTTTGCGGTATAATTCTTGTTATTTTCGAAATTCGGATTAATGGTTGAAAAAATTTAGATTTGGAATTCGGATTTTTGGGTTCAGATTTCTGTACGTGTTAAAAAAAAATTTAAATTATTTAGGGCGGGCCGTCGGCAGCCGGCCAGCAGCTTCGCTGTTGCACACAGTAGCGCGAGCTGCTGGGCAGCACGCAGCAGCGTAGGCACTGCCTAGGCCGGCGCTGCCTAAGGGAGAAGAAGAGAACCTTCTTTTAGGTTTTTCAATTTTTTACCAGATTTTTTGGGGGTGAGGGCTTCCTCTGTAAATTAGATAAGTTGAGGCCCCTGGTTGCAATTAGGGTTAGGGTTATAAAATTAAGGTTTCAGTCCCTAACATTTAAGTTATATTAAGCTTTGGGCCTTTAAGTTTCGAATTTAATAATTCAGTCCCTAAGGTTTAAAATTAATTAATTCGGGCCATTAAAGTTCTGAATTTATAACTAAAGCCCTCAAAATTTAATTATTAATTCAAATTGACCCCTAAAGTTTCAAATTTTTAAAATTTGATCCCTAAAATTTTGAATTATTAATCCTAAGGCCTCTAAAGTTTAAAACTAATCAAAATATGCAAAACTGGTGATTCTCTTTCTCAAATTTTGGTACCAAAGACTCTTTTAAGAGATATAATATTCGAAAATTAGTTAATTGAAACAATATGTTGCCAAAGCAACCTCTCTTGTGAAAATTGACTAACTTAGAATGTTAAAAAGTGTTTGTGCATGTGTTATTCATGAGAATATTGGTCGGCCCAAAGGAAGGTCAATATTTAGTCGAATACACGTGCACTTGTGGTGATAAACGTGTGACGATTATTTGGTTTAATGTGTGATCAATAAATTGGTCCAAAGAAAGGTTTATTGAATGACACGTTTTATCGTCAATGTTTGATCACTACGTCAAGAGTACCGCCTACAAGTCAATATCTCTGTCCAAAGGCTGGATATTGATGTTGTGTTTGGTATCTTGTGATGGGCCCTACCACTATTTGAGATTATTATTATTTGCATATTAAACATATTCAAAGTGAGCTACTCATAATAATCGTTCTCTAATTCAGTTTCAGGTTCTGCTGCTAATATCTCTGTTAGCATGAATTCAATTCCAATGCTAAATGACACAAACTTCAGGGCTTGGCAAGAGAATGTGATGATTGTTCTCAGAGTCATGGACCTAGACTTTGCTTTATGAGTCGATCAACCTGTTGCACTTACTGATAAGAGTACCTCTGATGACAAGAGGAAGATGGAAAACTAGGAACGATTGAACCGCATAAGTTTAATGGTCATGAAGCATGCTATTCCAGAAGCATTCCGGGGCACTATGTCCGATAAGGTGACTACGGCTAAGGGTTTCCTTGAGGACCTTGAGAAGAGGTTTGCCAAGAATGAAAAGGCTGAAACAAGTACACTTTTGGCAAATCTTGTCTCAATGAGGTATAAAGGGAAAGGAAACATTTGGGAGTACATTATGGAAATGTCTCACATTGCTTCAAAACTAAAGGCACTCAAGTTGGATTTATCTGAAGACTTGTTGGTGCACTTGGTTCTGATATCCCTTCCGGCACATTTCGGTCAATTCATGGTGAGCTACAACTGTCAAAAGGACTCATGGTCCCTTAATGAGCTCATTTCACACTGTGTCCAGGAAGAGGAAAGACCGAAGTATGAGAAGACAGAAAGTGCTCATTTAGCCACCACATCTAAGGACAAAAGTAACAAGAAAAGGAAGATTAATAAGGAAGCTTCGTGTACGACATCGCAAAAGAAATAGCATAAGGAATCAACTGAAGGCGGTTGTTTCTTCTGTGGAGCTGCATGTCATAAAAAGAAGAATTGCACCAATTACCACGCATGACGTGTAAAGAAAGGTACTTTTCTTCATTTGGTTTGTTCTGAGGTTAATTTAACTTTGGTACCTAGACATACATGGTGGATAGATTCTGGTGCAACAACTCACATCAGTATGTCTATGCAGGGTTGCCTGAGTTGTCGAAAACCAAGTGATGGTGAAAGATACATCTATGCTGGCGATGACAAAAGAATGGAAGTAGAGGTAATAGGAAAATTTAGATTATTGTTAAAGACTGGATTTTATTTGGATCTTGTTGAGACATTTATTGTATCGTCTTTTAGACGGAATTTGATTTCTATTTCTATTTTGGACAAATTTGGTTATACTTGTTCATTTGGAAATGGAAAATTTAGTTTGTTTCATGATTCAAAATTGGTTGGTTCCGGTTCTTTATCAGGTTACGATAATCTTTATTCAATTGATACAATTGCTTTTTATAATGAAACCTTGCATGTAAGTACTCGAGGTGTAAAACGAAAATTAAACAACAAGAATTCTGCCTCGTTGTGGCATAAGAGATTAGATCACATCTCCAAAAGGAGAATTGAGAGACTTGTGTCTGACGGGATTCTCGACCCTCTTGATTTCACAGATTATGATTTGTGTGTCAACTGTATAAAGGGAAAACAAACCAATAAAAGGAGATTTCAAGCCAATAGGACTTCGGATGTCTTAGAACTTATACATACGGATATTTGTGGACCATTCCCTATGAGTTCTTGGAATGATCAACAATATTTTATAACGTTCATAGACGACTTTTCAAGATATGGCTACATATATCTCATTCATGAAAAATCACAATCATTGGATGTGTTCAAAAACTATAAAGCTGAAGTTGAGAACCAACTCGGCAAAATGATTAAAAGCGTCAGATCTGACCGTGGGGGTGAATACTATGGCAGATATGACGGTTCAAGTGAACATCGTCCAGGACCATTTGCTAAATTCCTAGAGGAATGTGGTATCGTCCCACAGTATACTATGCCAGGTTCGCCCACTATGAATGGTGTTGCTGAGAGACGAAACAGAACGTTTAAGGACATGGTGAGGAGTATGATTAGTCATTCTACCCTATCAGAATCTCTCTGGGGTGAAGCATTAAAGACCGCAGCTTATATACTCAACAGAGTTCCAACTAAGGTCACTGATAAAACCCCATATGAGCTTTGGACGGGCAAGAAGCCTAGTTTGAAGCATATACATATTTGGGGGGTGTCCAGTTGAGGCAAGGCCCTATAAGTCAAATGAAAAGAAACTGGACGCAATGACCATCAGTTGCTATTTCATTGGATATTCTGAAAGGTCCAAGGGTTACAAGTTTTATGATCCCACAACTAAGGTAATTCTCGAGACAGGAAATGCTAGGTTCTTTGAGGATGTTGAGTTTGTGG